AGCAAAACGATTGGTTAAGATGCACACGTTCATTGACACGATGTGCCATCATTGAATATATGCAAGGGAAAGAACTTCTTTAATGTCTGCTTTTTCCTCGCACAAAGCCATCGGATGACGTCAGAAGACTAAGATTATAGCGCATGATTCATACAAACTACTTTTTATACTTTAATGGCGTTGTTTTTGGAGCTTGACAGACTGGTGCACATTTACATTCATTATAAGAGTTTGGCAAACAATGTTTTAAGAGGTGCATGCTGTTTCATTCATGCACGTGTTTCCATAATATATGTGTGTGTACTGTGTATAATTAATTTGTATAAATAAATACACAGACACACATGAATGCATACATTTAAGAAATATTTGCATTTATATTATATATAAATATTTTATATATATATAAATAAGATTTTTCTTAAATATATGCATGCATGTGTGTGTATTTATTTATACAAATTAATTACAAACTTTGGTAACACTTTACTTGAAGGGGTGTGCATAAGACTGACATGACACCTTCATAACCATGACATGACATATGTCATGAATATGAAGGAGGTTTTATGCATGTTTATGACAACTGCCATTAAGTGTCATTCGCTCAATTATGACATTTTTAATGCAAATATGACATTGTTTGAGATGTCTTTGTTATGGCAACTTGACATAAACCAATGCATCATAACCTGTCATAAATATGTCATAAACATGACATAGCAGATTTATTATCAAACTTAAAAAAACACATAACCTGTCAGTGTCTTGGTAATGACAACTTGAGATTACAAAGATAACATAAATTGTCATAAATATGTCATAAACATGACATAGCAGATTAATTATCAAACTTAATTATGGGTTAACATTACATTAAACTGGCATGTGGTTGGTTTTGACATTGGCTGTCATGAGGCCATTACGACAGTGTCATGAATATTTTTCTTGACCTCAACTACAGTGGTACACATTGAATTTGTCATTAAAATGTTATAATGGTCTATAAATGCTGTGTCATGTTTATGACATATTTATGAAAGGTTGTTTTGTCTTAGTAATGTCAAGTTGTTATAACAAAGACATCTCAAACAGTGTCATATTTGCATTCAAAATTCAATTGAGCGAGTGACACTTAATGACAGTTGACATAAACATGCATGAAACCTCCTTTATATAGTCATGACATGTGTCATGTCATGATTATGAAGGTGTCATGTCAGTCTTATGCACACCCCTTCAAGTAAAGCGTTACCCAAACTTTTATTTTGGCGATTAATCGTTGCACAGCCCGAGTTCACGGGCTAATAGAGTTCATGCAAACATGACGGCACCTTTGCGTGACGCAAGAGCTCAACTAGTCATTCCTTGGCGAGTCTCTGTATTAGCGAATACCATTCTGTCCGTTTGCGTGTGATGTATGTGGGTGTTATGATCTGAGCGGGCAGGAGCGGACAGCCTTCGACTCTCACACTCTCACACAGAGCCTCGGCGTTACAGATCACGTACATGCCACAGTCAAAGCTGTTCTGCTGCGAGGGGCTTTGCTCCTCGACAAAAGGCACTTTCTCTCCTAGAAAAGCTTCCAGTTTTGCTGCGATACGTCGCGCGTGCAATGAGTTCCCTCCATTTTGAGAGTCGAAGTGTGTGAACTGACTGGTGTCTCGTTGATAGAGAAGCAAACTCCAGTGGGAGCCGCCGGCCGTTTGATTGGCGTTATCATTGACCGGCAGAAAAACCCACTGTCGAGTCGCGAGACTCAGCGGCTCCAGAAACACGGCGAGCTCCTCTTGACTCGAAGCGTACTTGATGAACTGGGCCACTTCAGGGCTGATGAAACACACCTTCTCGCTCAGACTTTTGAAGCGCTCTGCTGCAAAGTACTCGAAGGCGAAACCGATGACCTGGTCGTTGAGCCAGTGCGGTCCGTTTAACAGCGCCACATCCGAGCGCCGCAGAAGACTGTCCTGGAAGCTCAACACCACCGGATCCATCCTCAACGCAACACGGGTTACTGTGGGCATGAGGATTTAGAGATTTTACTGATTTACATATGTAGTACCATATTAAACAGGTCATTGGATGCCCATTTTACATTCTTTAGGGTCTTCATGTAAAGTTTGTAACATACTTTGGTTAAAATTCCTCAATGGTTGTGTAAAACTACACCCTTTTTAGCTCCTCAAAAACAGCTCTGTTCACAGCGACCCGTTTCGGTGCATGTCTCTTTAAATGATAATGAGCAACCGCTCATGATGTCATTATGACATCATATTGCTCAGAAAATCCAAACGGCTTGATTATTGAAGCTTTTTGAGGATTGCACACACTGCAAAGACACATTTATATGCAAACACCATATAAAAGTGAATTTTGCATCCGATGACCCCTTTAATACCATGTTATATGAATCTATTTGTCTATAACAGTGGTATCCAAATGGCAGACCGGGTTTCATCCGGACCGAGGAACATAATCACGCCATTTTACCGCCAAAGTGCGTCAAAACAATGGAGCGGTTCACACCACTGAAGTGCTCAGGGTCATTTACGGTAATGATCTTTCGGAGCTAAAGTTTTTTAAAAGAAGTCTCTTCTGCTCACCAAGGCTGCATTTATTTGATTCAAAAATATTAAAAAAAACCTGTAATATTGTGAAATATTATTACAATTTAAAATAACTGTTTTCTATTTGAATATATTTTAAAATGTAATTTATTCCTGTGTGATCAAAGCTGAATTTTCAGCATCATTACTCCAGTCTTCAGTGTCACATGATCATTCAGAAATCACTCTAATATGAAGATTTGCTGCTCAAGAAACATATATTATTATTATCAATGTTGAAAACAGGTGTGTACAATTTTTTTTCAGGATTCTTTGATGCATAGGAAGTTCAAAAGAACAGCATTTATTTGAAATATAATCGTTTGTAACATGTCTTTACTGACACTTTGGTTCAATTTAATACATCCTTGCTAGGGCTGCACGATGTATCATTTTAACATCGATATCGCGATGTGCGCATCCACGATAGTCACATCGCAGATATGTACGATGTCAAGTATGGATCGTAGTTGATGGTGATTCATGATCAGTAGGCAACGTGCCAGCAGCTCTCCGGCCCGTAACGCTTGTGATTCGTGGATTAATTGCAAAGTTCAACCATCATAGTGTGAGAGTTTATCAATTTGCAAGTCCTGTCAGTTTAAACATAAAGCGCAAGAAGACTGGAACTTGCGCGCTGTTTTCTGTCAGCCTCTAAAGCGTATTTTTGTCCCGCCAAAGTTTGACCGGTGACTGATGTAAAGACTGACTGCTGCGCTTGTTTAACTGAGAGAGCGAGCAGAGAGTGAAAGCCCCGGTCGCGCGCGCGCACTCTCACCGTCTTCAAACTGTCTTTCTCGCTCTCCCTCCCTCGCGCATATTAATGAATTGAGTTGAGTTGACTCAGTGATGGATTTCATCCAGTGATGAAATGTTTTCTGTGTTGACAAATCTTGTACGATGTGGTCCGTTAATGACACGTCCGATTCGCGAACTAATGACTCATTTGAACCGATTCACTTTAATGAATGGTTAAAACAACTGATCTGTCCAACACTGAACTCAAGAGACATAAATCAGAAACACTTCACAATAAGGTTCCATTTATTAAAGTCTAGTTAAAGTCATTCTAGAATGATTCATTCTTTCCAAATAGAGCTATTTAAGTAATCTGGTGAAATTGTTTTTATATCGCAATATATATCGCAGAAAAATAAAATATCGCAATGTGATTTTTTACCAATATCGTGCAGCCCTAATCCTTGCTGAATAAAAGTATTCATTTCTTTCATTTCTTTTCGGAAAAAAATATTACTGACCGCAAACTTTTAAACGGTTGTGTATAATGTTACAAAAGCTTTCCATTTCAGATAAATACTGTTCTTTTGAACTTTCTATTCATCAAAGAATCCTGGAAAAAAATTGTAAACAACTGTTTACAAGAGACCGGACAACGGAAGTTGCAATAGTCTATTCTTCACTATTGTAATAATGTATATCAGAGTGAAACATCTCTTCAAACAAGAACAAATGTAGGACGGGGCTTTATTTTGTCTGTGGGGAATTGATTGGATGGTTGTGGTTTGCTATTGGTGGATCTCATGTGAGTGACAGGTTGCCCCGCCCTCGCGCCAGTAAACACGTCATTAGAGAAGAGAAGTCGTTGCCTCCCTCTTGCAACGACTTCTTTTCTCTAATGACCTGTTCATTTATTTTGTTGAATTTATTTTGATTCAAGATTGCGAGACACATGAACTAAAAACTATCATAATGTGCACGGATAAATAACTTATACTAAATATTCCATAAAAAAACAAGAATCGCCTATTTTTATTTCATGCTGCCTTTAACCATCTATCTTTTTCATTCTAAAAACACATTACTTTCCGCCAAAAAAGTACTTTCTATTTTTCTTACCACTCTATATTGCAATTACTTTGCTTATAATACAGGGAGTCAGAGGATGTACTAGATGTAGGTAACTTTAAAATAATAGACTATTTAAACTGTTATTTATTTTACACGTGCTCGCCATAACTTTAAGTTAGTTGTCTTATTTGTCTCATTGCACAATCACTAGTACTGCACTGCGCAATGATACAGGCCAAACAAACACGATCACATTTCAAAGCTCTCTGCATTCTTCATCTGTTTAAAAATCACATCGACAACATATTGTTTGTTACCTTGCAAAAGAAACAGTCCCCAAAGTAAGCCTTCATAACGTCCACCTTCCTCTGCCACAAGCGCGAGAGGGCAGGTGCCGTAAACCGCTACTGTTGTGATAGAAAGTGTCGCGCTTCTACACTTTTTGCGACAGTGTTGAGGGGCAGGGCACGTACACGCCTTTTCCCAATGCCAGACGGTGATTGGCTTACCGCAGCGTGACGCAACTAGTACGCACTGCCTCTCTGAAAGCCAGCCACCGCCCATCGCCGCAACTGACTCCGCCCATTCCGCAGCGAGTACGCGCAGCGCGCGTCTGGACGCTGATGAGAAGCAGCACTGATTAAGCAGAAAAAAAACAGAAAGGAGTTTCAGCGAGCGACTCCCACGAGAAAAGAAACGCCGCACTGTTCGGAAATTTCAATGGGAAGATGATTGTAGTCATTTTTTGAATCAAAATGGCAGAGTGGCACGTACGTTCGGACACGGGAAAGTTGCAACGGATAATTTGAGAGAGACAATTCTGGGATATTAGTGGACTCGAGCTGCGCCGGATTTGATCCGTCCTTAAAGGAGAAGCGCAGCAAACACTGGATTTTTTTTTTTTTTTTACACTGAACTCAGAGAGGTGAGATTTGATGTGTTGAAATTATTTTCACTCATGCTTTAAGTGAATTACACAAACTAACTTATCCTGACTGACTCGAAGTTTCTCTGCATCTCCTGCTTTATGTCTATGGTTACTGCGCGCGCTAACTCGTGGCACACGATACGTGCAAAACAATATTGTGATATTTCTTTTGATTCAGTGTCAACAGACATCAACATAACTAGTGAATGGTGTAACTGGTTTAAATGTGTTAGGATAACTTTAAGCTGGCATTTATGTGCGGCTGAATAAACAACCTTATTTGAGGTGTGACAGATGTCATGGGTGGAGATGAGGATGAGGATGATGATGATGATGGTGCATGTATTATTGAGGACTCACTTCAGTCCCAGTACTGCAGTAATCATGGGCCAAATCTGCACAGTCATCCGGTCCCAGTCACAATGTTTCATTCTCTCTCTCTCTCTCTCTCTCTCTCTCTCTCTCTCTCTCTCTCTCTCTCTCTCTCTCTCTCTCTCTCTCTCTCTCTCTCTCTCTCTCTCTCTCTCTCGTTCTAAAAGTGTGTGGCCACTTTAAGTCAAGAGTTGAAGGTGTGTGAATGTCATTGCATTTAAATGGCAAACTATCAAACCAAGTGGCATCTGCAAACAAAACGATGCTACATATTTTCTCAGAACTAACTTCACTTTTCTGAACCGTTTCGCGTGACTTTTAACCTGGAATCTGGGATTTTTTTTTTAGTGGATAAGTCAGTTCTCCAAGTTCACTCATGTGTCACCACAGGTGTAGTTCATCACATTAACTATCGTTCCAGTTACATTTTACCATCACAAAGTTTCCAAATCAAATAGTTTTTAAAGTTCCCATGAAATCAATTTTGTTTCTTTTAGTATAAAAACGATTTTTGTCTTTTAGTATGATGAATATGTTATCTGTTATCTATAAGCTAGTGTGCTCCAAAACAATGACAAAATTCACATTTAGAAGATAAGCATTAGTCTCACTTCCTCCAATATAGTAGATCAATGAGTTTGATGACATCACTTTGCACTTCAACTTCTCATCAGATTTTCTGTCCAATCAAACGCTCTCTAGAATCTGAAGCCCCGCCCCCTACATTATGAACAGTAGCTGTGGCTGAAATGGTCACTTGTTCACACAATTGCTATTTTCTACATGGTGAATGGCACATAGTGCACTATATAGGGGATAGTGAACGATTCAGACAGTGTAAATATGCTTTCCATTGGGATATGGAGGAGATTAAGAGATTGGGACAACTTTATCGAGCTCAACGGCTCTGGCCGAGCGGTGATATAAACTAAACGCTATTGGCTATTTTTTTTAAAGGGGAGGAGCTGATAGATATGCCCCGCCCCTTCCTGTTTCAGTGGAAATTACGTCAACACATTGAATGCTGCACGTTTCAACTTCAGGGGGTGTTTAAACAAAATATCTGTTGTTTATCAACTGAAACCTAACAAACACTTTTGTTTTGCATGCTCTTGATAATAATAAATACCACTTGGTGTGATACTTTTTTTTTTTTTAATGCAGCTCATACATTTAGTGTTCTTTTAAAATCAGTCACTTCTCATTTTCTGACTGAGTAACTGAGGAAAGTTTGCTGTTGGTGGCAGTGTTGTTTCCCGGGACAGGTGATGTGAGGAATGTGAAGGGTTTGTCTCAGCTGTTAGGAATTGTGCCAAGACATGACTTAACTCTGACAACTGGCCTCGTATACGACTCCCCAGATATTAGCTAGTGTGTTCTGCATGCTTCTGAACCAGATTCATAAGTTAACACTGTTACTGTTCTAAATGCATGCGCTTACAAGAAAGCACTGTGCCGGTGGTGAAATCACCTAAAGGATTATTAGGAACACCTGTTCAATTGCTCATTAATGCAATTATCTAATCAACCAATCACATGGCAGTTGCTTCAATGCATTTAGGGGTGTGGTCCTGGTCAAGACAATCTCCTGAACTCCAAACTGAATGTCAGAATGGGAAAGAAAGGTGATTTAAGCAATTTTGAGCATGGCATGGTTGTTGGTGCCAGACGGGCCGGTCTGAGTATTTCACAATCTGCTCCGTTACTGGGATTTTCACGCACAACCATTTCTAGGGTTTACAAAGAATGGTGTGAATAGGGAAAAACATCCAGAATGCGGCAGTCCTGTGGGCGAAAATGCCTTGTTGATGCTAGAGGTCAGAGGAGAATGGGCCGACTGATTCAAGCTGATAGAAGAGCAACTTTGACTGAAATAACCACTCGTTACAACCGAGGTATGCAGCAAAGCATTTGTGAAGCCACAACACGCACAACCTTGAGGCAGATGGGCTACAACAGCAGAAGACCCCACCGGGTACCACTCATCTCCACTACAAATAGGAAAAAGAGGCTACAATTTGCAAGAGCTCACCAAAATTGGACAGTTGAAGACTGGAAAAATGTTGCCTGGTCTGATGAGTCTCGATTTCTGTTGAGACATTCAGATGGTAGAGTCAGAATTTGGCGTAAACAGAATGAGAACATGGACCCATCATGCCTTGTTACCACTGTGCAGGCTGGTGGTGGTGGTGTAATGGTGTGGGGGATGTTTTCTTGGCACACTTTAGGCCCCTTAGTGCCAATTGGGCATTGTTTAAATGCCACGGCCTACCTGAGCATTGTTTCTTACCATGTCCATCCCTTTATGGCCACCATGTCCCCATCCTCTGATGGCTACTTCCAGCAGGATAATGCACCGTGTCACAAAGCTGGAATCATTTCAAATTGGTTTCTTGAACATAACAATGAGTTCACTGAACTAAAATGGCCCCCACAGTCACCAGATCTCAACCCAATAGAGCATCTTTGGGATGTGGTGGAACGGGAGCTTCGTGCCCTGGATGTGCATCCCACAAATCTCCATCAACTGCAAGATGCTATCCTATCAATATGGGCCAACATTTCTAAAGAATGCTTTCAGCACCTTGTTGAATCAATGCCACGTCGAATTAAGGCAGTTCTGAAGGCGAAAGGGGGTCAAACACAGTATTAGTATGGTGTTCCTAATAATCCTCTAGGTGAGTGTATACCGTGGTGCTGTCATTTTATGTAAAAAAACAAACAAAAAACATAGTACTATAAAGACTTTTTGTTAAAATTCATAAGATTCTTGAGTTGTTTTTATAGAGAGGCTTTCGGTTTGAAACCAAATCACAACACAGGTTTAAAAATCCTCATTAAATATTAACACAGAGCAGAAATAGAAGTTGCATCATAGAGCCTGGAGGGAAAGGTAAAGCCGGATGAGAATCTCTCAAACACGCACTTTACCACTTGTTTTTTCCTGTTTAGTTTTTCTGGTTTCTGTTTATTTTCCCGTTTGAGTTTTTCTGGATTCTGTTTATTTTTCCGTTTGAGTTTTTCTGGTTTCTGTTATAGTTGTTAAGTTAAATTTTAGTAATCCAAAAGCATGTCTAATTAATTGAAATAATGAAGTTTATACGGTTTAACAACAATTTATTAAAAGTTTAGCTAACACTATGAAATGTTTTATTCCGTTTTATGGTGTAATTAAATTTGAATAATCATTTAATGAATTCTTAAACTTTAAAAATTTATTAAGTTATCACAAATTTTCCAATAATAGGGCCTTATGATCCCCCCCCCAACCCCCCCCGCCCCCAATCATTTTTCTGGATTTATGATTTATTATCAAAAATGGCGGTAATCAAAATAAGGCATAAAACATTACAATTTAATCAATATCTTAAAAGGTAACAATTTATTTTATCTTTTAACAAAGCACTGCAAGGCAAAGGTTAGCTATTGAAAAGAAAAATGATCATATTCCTTTAAAAAAAAAAAGTTTTAAAGATTTTATTATTATTAATACTTTGAGAAGTACATCCTGATAGTAATATATTTCTGTCTACATTTCTTCAAGTTAGACCTTTTATTTGATGGGTTGTCGTGAACACCTTTGAGTTTCTTTTTTTATATAATATGATGATAATTTTTATTACATAAAATTTTTAAGTGGCTGAAGTTTATGTCCTCATATAGTGAGACGGCAGACGCTGAAAACACCGTGAGCGTCACGCTTGAGTTTGTGTAGTGGACGAAACTGCGACACTCAGATTTGAAAAGCAATATTGAGTGGATATCACGATTTAATTAAGTGTTTTGACCTCAGTTTGATATTATTTTGGCCTCAGTTTGATATTTTCTTCCAAAATATCTCAAATTTTTTGCTAAATGACAGAAGCGTTATACTGTAAATTCCTGTTTTTATGACTGGATTCTATTCCGCCATGGCGGAAATCATTGGGTACTGTAGTGTATCTGTATGATGAATCTAGCTTGTTGGAGAAATCTGAAGCATTTTTGGACCACAACAATAAGAGGAAACTGCCATAGGAAGTAGTGAAACTCTCGGTCATCAAGTTGCCTGGATTTTTTACTTTGAAGGGATGCGGTAATCCATCCTTCAGGCCCTGATTGACACCGTGTTCAATGATCCGACTAAACCTTGAAGTCCCCCTGTGGTGAAAATCCAGCTTTTAATGTTGTTTATATGTCTATATGGTGTTTTTAATATGCTTTAAGACAAACCATGTGTAAATTCATAAGTCGACAGCATTGCTGAGTGTTTTCTCCTTTAAACTGCAGTGAACCAAAGACAGTCTCAAAAACACGGTTTGAAATCGCTGGTGTTTCTGACGTCACAAACAACCTTGTAACCAATCAGATCAACCAGTGGATCTCTGAGCTGAGTGAGTGAGTGGAGGCGGGGCTCAATAGAATTACATTCAAGCTATTTTAACGCATGACCATTTTTTTTTTTCAAGGAAAAAACATTTTAATGTCATTTTGGTGATCAAAGATGAGTTTTAACTTAAAGGGATACAATTATTGACTAGGGGGGACTTTAACCGTTACAGCATCTGCTGTTTTTTGTCACATTTATGTCTTAAATATTTCTCTCTTGAATATGTCAGCTGTACTTCAGATAGTAAAGTTATTTA